GCAGTTCATATCTTACCAGCAGCAGATATCTCTCCTGGCGTCTTAATTTAGCATAAAGATTGAGAACAGACCAAAGGGGACTTTTACATCTTAAAACAAGTTTAAACTAAATGTCAGTTTAACTTATTGCTACTTTATGAATCTTCACACCATCATTGGCTGGTTGTTAACACAGGAAATGGAAGGAGGAAACATTGTACCAGCACCAATCTCATATGAAATCACAAACAGAACATGTTGGCCTTTGCAATCAAGACTGATACAACAATACAAGACTAACGGATACAACAGTAACATTTTGAAAAATGCTTTAGTATTACTGCATGTCTGCTCAAAGTAGCTTGCAAAACTGAAAATTGTGTTGTGTTTGCACAGCATGTCCACATATTGAACTGAGATTCTTAAAAGCAGTTTTCAAATGTTAGATGCTTAAAGTCTCTTTGTGTTTTATAAGGAATACCCAGAAGTTATTAAAAACAGTGAATCACTGTCTGCACGAGAAACCCCAACATTAATAAAACACTCTTTTTCTTTTCTATCTCACTTTGTCCTTTTAGTTCAAGTTCAATTACAAGCTGAAGTTTAAAACTGGAAATTAAAGGGCAAACTGTCAATCTACAATTGTCTTTGGAGAATATTTAAGCTAATATAGCTACAGCCAAGTTCTGGATCTCCTTTTTAATGCTTATGATTCCTTATCTCAAATTCATTGCATAGAAATTACAGAGCATCTGAGTGAAATCCTTGTAATAGCAAAAACATTAAAAAAAAGTTTGCTGTGTTTCTCCAGCAGTCACTGAGTGTGAGGCAGTAAACCCTGGACATGTCACCAGTCCATCACATATTCCAACATTTAAATTTCTATAAATAAGCACTCAAAACAACATAACAGTTTAAAAGTTCACATAATTATGCCACAATGTTTCTGACATCAGAGCAGAAATCTGCTTTTGTCTTGGTTCCGCTTGGATAGTCTGGCCGTTGCTTTTCTACGCAATTCTGCTCGATGCTCATTTTCCTTCAATGTTCCGTCTGGGCTTTCTCCAATTGAATTTGATTTCTCTGGTAGAATTTTCACCAGGCTAATCAATGAACAGAAGGAGAAGTCGTGAACGATGATGACAGTTTTCTACGGTTTTGAGAATTGCAGTCTGTCTGTAGTTTTAACAACAGCGGCGGAGGAAGTGAACAAAGCCGTCCAGTCCGTGTTGGCCACACCTCCAAATATTGTATTAACATTAACAGCCATCCTGTTCCTTCTTCACAATGGAGGATTGTTGTTTACAGCGCAGGAAATTTCCGGTAAGCTTCATAGCGTCCAACATCACAGCCATACATTAGCAGTTGGGTAAAGTTTCAAGCTTCTGCAGGGTCCACGCCTCCAGCAAGCAATTGTTTGTGAATAGCTGAGAGTCCACTCCCTCTGGACGAAGTGAAGCGTAGAACACAGGGTTGGTTTTCACCAAATAAGATGCAAAGGGCATTATTTACTAAAAGTAAAATGACTGTTTGAAAAGTATTAACAGAACCTTATTTTAAAAATCCTGAACTATCCATTTAACGCTGAATTCAGGGGACAATGTAAGCAGTGAGAGTGTAAATAAATCTTGAAAATGGCCAACCTAAACAAAAAAAGTGTTACTTAAAAGACAGATTAAGAAAAAAAAAAGTTAACAATGTCTGAAATAGCACACGTCTGAGAGCAAGCTTGAGAAAATCTTTTTGGGTGAGTTGCTAGCTGCGAGGAAGAAAGACTGTTTGTTTTAGCTTCTTTATTTGTCTCCACCACTCTCCATCTGTTCCCACTACGGACACAAAAGCAATACAGCAGAGAGTACACACACACACAAACCCATGTTGCTGTGAGGAGGCAACACTATCCGCAAAAAACACCACACGGCAAACAAGCCGCCGAAGGCAAGACATCGGTGTTTACCGAAAAGATGATCCCACAAGTCACAGAGACACATGAATTCATGATGCCTCCTCATCCTCATCATGAATATTCTCCCAAAATAAAAGGCCCCTTCCCTGATCTGTGGGAGATTCCTTTCTTTTGGCTACAAGCGAAGAGCCCCTTCCCCTTATTCACGGTCCCCGCTAAATCCGTCCATTCACAGCCCGTAGGCCCTGATCTCCACATGAAATGATAGCACTCTTTCTCCTCCACTCCTGCACCCTTAAGGGCCCATATGCCAGGCAGCGAGGAGGCTGGGAAAGCCCATAATTGATCAGTGAGTCTTGGCTGAAAAAGTGTGACCAAGGTCAGCCCCCCACGAAGTCTGCAACACTGGTTTCAAATACACATTTATTGGGGGAATTTCATGGAAGTTCTGCAGAGCAAACACTGGCATCAGAAAAAAAAGATACACACACACACACACATATATATATATATATATATATATATATATATATATATATATATATATATACACACACACACACACACACACATGGAATTACATTTCATTCAAATGAGACTTTTCCCACATTTTCACAGATTTATTTTTGGGAAACACTTTATGTAAACAAGAACCTACGTGCACAAAAATCTGATAAAATCAAGTTTTCAGTTCCATGATATTAAATATGCAATTATTAAAGTGGAATGTTCCATAATCATGAAAAAGGCAGTCACATCAATCAGAAATGGAGGACAAAAGCATCTACAGGAAAACGGGTGGTTGTTTCTTTTCTCTTCCACAGGAAGAATTCTGATTCTAAAAGAGAGGGAAAAAAGCTAATTTAACGCTTTCTTTCTCAAAAGTACAACAGTACCGGGTATTTTTAATAAACTTAGCTTACAATCACCAGTAAAATGACACCCTCTTTCACTTGTGGTTTTATTATTCAGAAGCAACATTCAGTGTTTATGCTCTACAATCTGGAAAGAACTTCCAGAAAACTGCCAAACAGCCGAAACACTGAGTTCATTTACACATTAAAAGCCAAATGTTTGTTTTTGCTATTGATTAGCAGTAAGTGGAATACTGGTCAACATATGTGATGTACATTTTCTAGAAAACTTCGGAGATTAATGTCAAAATGTCATAATTTTTTTCTAGCGAATTTTTGAGTTTTCACATTCAAAAATAAACGTTTTTTCCAGAAATTTTTTTTAGCTTAATCTCAAACTTTCTGAGATTTTTTGGCGGAAATTTACTCTTCCCAAGGCCCTAGAACACCATGTGGCAGACAACCTCAAAGAAATGAAACAGGAGTAGTTTTCTTTACAAACTGGAAAGAAAAGTGAGCAAAAAAATCTCCACAACGGTCTGATGAACCAAAACGACTTGTATCGTGAATGCTGCTGCAGGTTGCTCTTGAAGCTACTTAGTCATGGGGTGTACTTAGTTCTCCAGAGAAATAATCACAGAGTTGCATCTGTTGTTCGTTTTTGACAGAAGGTTAGATTGAATTCATTTTAGAACCTTGCAGAGAGATGAGCCTAGAAATGAAAGAGGGTGTACTTTCTTTCGTTTATGACTAAATCTTCCATTTATCCTTAAACGCAGGTCATCAATCTTCACGTTAAACTTCAAGTTTATTTGAATAATGACGGCTTGATGACGGTAAATTAAACTCCATGCTAAACTCAGAGTCGCCTGCAGTATTGTATTTTGTCTCAGCACTGTTACCCTAGTAAGATGAATTCATAAAATAAACTATTATTACAGTAGTCAGTTTTCAATATGTGCAATTATATTATGTACCACTTCTGAAGCTTTTTATAACTCAAGTTACAAATGACTTGCAGATGACAGGATATGACATATAAACCTCACAACTGTAAAAAAAACAAACAAACAAAAAAAAAAGTATCTGCCCCCTTACTTTAGAGTATGTGTTTCAGGTCATCAAACCAACAAGCCAATTTTGACATCAGACAGATAACCTGATTAAATACAGAAAGGGTTTTAATGATGCTTTCATCCAGAAAGCTGTTCTAACTGACCTGCTAATATGTGAAAAAGTAAATGTCCATCTTGTTATGAATTAACTGTGATTTACCAGTTTGTTTTTGTTTTGGTTCTGTTTTACTAACCACAACTAGGCCCTGTTACAGAAATGCCAACAGAAGGACCTCTCTGACAACATGAGGCACACAGAGATCCCAAAAAGCAACACAGCATGTCCCGATCTAAACAAGTAGCAGCAGACAGCTGCTTGTACTGAGCCAGGTTCTGGTTCTGGTTCTGCTGGAAGTTTCTTCCTGTTAAAGGGGAGTTTTTCCTCCCCAATGTCGCTACATGCATGATTGGTCTGAGGGATTGCGGTAAAGTTAATGACACAACGCAAGCAACCGTTGCTGAAATAACCTTGTGTCGTGAATTAGAAATAAACTGGACTGAATTGAAAATTACTTCAAGTGTACAACAAACAGTCATAAGACCTTTGAGCGTTCATGCTCAAAAACTCTCCAATTTGACTGAATTAAAGAATTCTGCCGTAAAGAGTGAATCACAACTCTTTTACAGTCATGTAAAAGGTTAATCAGCAGTTCTTGAAGGCTGTTGTTGCCTCTTTAGGTAAAACAAGCTGTGTTTCTATTGACTGTATAGTTACACAGTTTGACATTTGGAAAATAGTTTAGCTTAATGGAAACACGGCACTTTTTTACTGAAATTGTTTTATTTTTGCAAAACTGCAGTGGAAACACCTTTTTTTTTCCTTCATAGAAGTCACATGATCAACAACCAGATGTTCCCATCGGCGCAAACCATGAAGAAGAAGTCAACAGGAAGTAGTCGGAGGATGATGGCAAGGAATCATTTTTAATGACTTACCAGATGAACAAACATATTCACGTGCGATTTTAATTGCATTTGTTATTTAATGGAAACACCGCAACTGCAAAATTGTGTTTGTTTTTTTAATTAGGGGAATATCGACAAAGTTTTGCGCAACCCAGATCAGGCAGTTCGTAGGCTCAGGAGTAATTTACCTTTTACATAAGTATGTTGAACATTTTGTATTTTCTCAGGTTATCTTTGTCCGTTTGGTGATCTGAAACATGTAACTGTGACAACAAAAGAGATGAAATCTGTATGAGGGCAAACGATATGCTCGTCATTTCTGCACTCATTAGAACGTTCAAGTATGATTCATGACAGTTGCTCCATAGCATTAGCATTAGCATACAAGGCTCCAAAAATGGAAAGACCTCTGGCTCAACCCAGGATTCAGAGTTTAGTTCACTTTGATATGGTGGGTAAGAATGAAGGACATCAAGTAGGAGACCGTGTGTGTGTGTGTTAGTCTGTATCAGTAGGACATGTCAGGCTCCGCCCCCTGCAGGGATCAGAGAGTCGCAGAGATGTGGGGCTGTGCTTCAGCGGCGTACGTGACAGTAGAGGGTTTGGGGGGCCAGTCAGCGTCCTCCTGCAGCTCCAGGGCCAGGTGCCTGTACAGAACCTTCGGCGGCTTGTTCCTCTGACAGAACAACCGGGACAGGAACAACGCGCCCCAGCTGTCATTAGCAACCTGTCAACATCAACACCAATAAAAATCTAGGAGTCAAAGCATCACTTCAGTGACTAGCTAGTGATGTGGATATTTAACTAACAAAAAGATGCAGAATTCTATGTTTTTTAATGAGAATCACAATAAACACATTCCTGAAATTCTGAATTTGTTTATAAAGCTTTTTTAAGAGGATTCTGCTACATTTTCATCATCATAGTAAGTTTCCAAAAAAAAAAGAAAAGCATGTAATATGTTACACCATTGTCTCGTGCATCTACGCTGCAAAAACACAGTCTTAATAGATATGTTTGCTCTAGTTTCTTGTGCAAATATCTTAGTACACTTGAAATGAGACAAAAGTAACTTAAAAGTGACTTTTTAGCAAGCCATAGAAACTTATGTTGATAATTTCTTAAATAATTGAAATAACAAGTGTTATTTACTTGTTATAACAATGAAACAGATTCTTTCAGTGTTATCAATGAAATAATCTTCCTGTGGAAGTACGACTTTTTTATCAATATTAAAGAATGACTTACTGAAAATAAGCTTTTATATCTCACTCAAAAATGAATTGTGTCAGTTTTGTCTTATTTCAAGTGTACTAAGACATCTCCACCACAAAGTAGACCAAAAATACCAAGTAAGACTTTGTGTTTTTGCAGTGTATAAATAAATGACTTGAGGTAAATATTGCTCCAGCATTCAACATACATAAAGCGTTGAAAATAGAGATATACATACACTTCATATAGAAACAACTATTTTTTCTTACTGTCTAATAAAAACAAATTAAACTTTAATGTTCTAGATCAGATTTAATATTCATTTCTTCAAATTAGGAAGTTTGCACACACTCATATTGCTCTGTGTTTAAACAGTTTGAGAAAGTCCAGGTGATGATGTCATGGCTTTATAAGCTTCTGCTAGGTACAGTTAAAAGGTTGAGTTAAACTGGGACAATCATGACAAAATATTTTAAGGTAACAACTTAAACAAAGCCATCATGGAAGAAAAAGCCATGAAACAACCAAGACATCAGGATGACAGCTGTGGGCACACTTCTGCTAGTCCTTTAATGTGCTAATAGCAGAGCTAACTTTTTGTCTAACATTTTTGCTAACTTTGAAAACGCTTAGCGCATGTAGCTTCTTCACAAACAAATCTTTCCAGATAAAGTGCTAATTTACTTGGCTGTTTTGTTAACTTTCAGTTGAATAAAGTTCGACATCTGTGTTGACGTGTTTGTTATTGACTGTTATGAATTCTTAAAGTGGTAAGACATTTATATTTACGCTCTTATTTTGAAGTGGGTGAAGACTGCTTACGCAGCCTGAGTTACACAGAAGGATTCAGCCAAAATTCAGCAAACTACTGTGAAAAGCTTGAGCTAAGTCATTCAGTAAAAATATCAATTTAACGTAAAGCTACGAATTAATACTCTCAAAAAATGTCTCTTGCATTTGGGAAAAGACAGAATTTCAGTAACCTTAACTGAAAACAGGACATGTTTGGTCTGATTTAATGCTTGAAAAATAAAAAGGCTACATTTTTATAAACATTTAGTTGCTCTTTCTGCACTGATGAAGATCTGCTCACCTACAAAAAGTTCAGTGAGTGAAATCTGGCCTATTTTCTGACTTATTTGGATTGTAATTATTTTTGACCACTTTGGGCACCCGTAGACTCTGTAACGAGCGCTGAGCTTTCAGTATCAGATGGTCAGGCAGGAAAAAGAAATGTCGTCACAGTAGCACACCTTCGATCCCAATAGACCCTTTTCACATGACGTCACACAACCTCCGTTTTGGCTCGAAGCTGTGTATCCTTAGTTCCGGTGTACATAGTAAGTAACGATAAAGTTGTCTATTTCATATATATATATATATATATATATG